ACGTCGTGCGGACGTCGGTAACCGTCCGCTAGCAGGCGGAGGTCACCCCCTCCCCCCCTCCCCCTGCTCCGTACGTGGCGTGGCCACCCGGCCGGTCCCTCCCACTCGACCACCACCCACTCGGTAACAAACCGCACCGACAATAGCAGGGCAGCGGCCAGGTGGTAATCAGTGAGGGGGTGGGTCCCCTCCTCCCGATTGCCGCTCCGGGGGGTGGTGGGTAACCCTACGCCGAGTGCCACGCCTTGCTAATTATAAGCTTCCGTGATTAGTGTCGCTGCCCATTGTCTCCCTAACGGCTCGTTATCCCTCACTTTTTACTGACGTGGGGACGATGATTTTCGCTCGGTGTTGTCGCGCCCCCCCCCCGAAAAATAATGGCGCTGGCGGACGTGATTGCACGCGTAATGGAGATGTGATTGCCGCGTGGGGGCGCTGCATGCGTGCGGAGGGTGGCCACCCACCAGCCGAGCAGCCGACCGTCGCTGCACGCTGTCACCCGCTGTCGCTTTGTGCGCTCTAGCGCGTAAGTTGATATCATGTGTTATAGCATTGCGGCGGCGACGTTGTTGGTGACGTCGTCTGCGTTCGTGCGCCGACGCCGCAGTTGTCGGCTGCGTGGCGCCGGATGTGACGTCACAGTCGTCGGCTGCCTGGCTTCAGTCGTGCGCATTCCGTAAACCGCTCACATAGCCCCTGCCTCCCCCCCCCCGTGTATGCATGTGTGGACCGCTAGCTCCCCCCACCCACACCGCGCCCGCCCGCCCGCCACGGGACCGCCCGCTGGCCCACGTATCCAATGTCGGCAGTGTTTTGCGCGGGCCTGCCGACTGTTTTACATTCTCCCCGCGAGCTCCCGCCGACGTACAGACGTGCCGACGTCATTGCTACGCGTCGGCGAGAGAGCTAGTTAGCCGTGCCGCAGCGACGGAGTGAAAGGGTTAACAACGGCTCACCGGACGGGCCGCTACGCTCGATTCGGGGCGAGGTCAGGGGTCAAGAGAGATCGGGTTAAGGCTCGCTGCGGGCCGCTATTGATGTGTCGCGTGGAGGGAAGGATGCTGCTGATCGGAGTTTTGCTTTCGGTTAGACGCAGGTTTGAACACACAACAATATACCCTGACTGGCTTATGTGTGTGTGCGCGCGCTGTTATATATATATATATATATATATATATATATATATATATATATGTGTGTGTGTGTGTAGTAGAGAGAGAGAGAGAGAGAGAGAGAGAGAGAGAGAGAGAGAGAGAGAGAGAGAGAGAGAGAGAGAGAG